CCTGGGCTAGGAACTGATTGCTGTGCTCACCTGTGACCACCCAGCTTGAGACAACAGACCTGCCACCCTGCCGTGTCCACGAGACAGTAGACCCACTACCTGCTGTGTCCATCAATCACCATGCTGACAGAGCAGTCTCGTGACTATTCTAAGAGGGACATTTGAATCATATGTGGAGCATCGTCTTTGAGGGTATATAACTACTCTGTACACCCACTTCTTTGGTGCCCTTTCTTCCTTCGGGAAGAAAGGCCCAAGGCCATGGTCCTCACGTTTTGGCTCAGAATAAACTCACCCAAATTTTCATTTATGGATTATTTTCGACAGATCTAAGAAGAGCTGTTGATTTTTCAGTTTGGCTTTTTATTTCTTGTTAGGATCCACTGGTAACTGCTAAGCTCCTTACATGCCAGACAGGAAACTGAAACAGTTCAATCTGTACTTTTAAAATATAACATATATTTTAAATCAAAAGTCTTGATGACTCTTTCTCACACATACACATAGACACACAGTGTACTTATTGTTGTGTAATGCTGATCATTTCCCTCTCTCAAATTTTGCATTCCCCATAGTTTTGACATTGCAACTGTGGGGACCTGAGGTTGGCCACCACAAGATATGTCTCTTTGGCATCAGGATTATTTGAGGCTGATTGCTTTTGATAAACTGGGACAGGGAAGGAGGCTCTGAGGAATGGAACTTGCCCTTCCTTAGGACGCATTTACATTTGTAAGGTAAATCTCTATCTGTAAAATGTGCCTCCCTCTCTGTACCAGGAAGAAGAAAGGAGATGACCTTCTCTCTAGAAACTCTTAATCAATACCAAAGGCAAGGACTTAAATCTGCATTTTATTGTGCTAGTCTGGTAACCTCCTGTAACTGACTTCCCTCCCCCTCCCAACGTTGGCATTTCTTTAAGGATTAAGCATCTTTCCTTAGGGAAGGAACTGATTGCTGTGCTCACTTGTGACCGCCCAGCTCCAGACAATAGACTTGCCTCCTGCTACACCCACCGAGATAGCAGACCATTACCTGCTGTGTCCATCAAGAGCTGTGCCGACAGGGCAATCTTGTGACTATTGTGGGAGGGACATTTCAATCACATGTGAAACACCCTGTTTGGGGGTATATAACCACTATGTGCACCCCACTTCTTCGGTGCCCTTTCTTCCTTCTGGAAGAAAGGCCCCGGGCCGTGGTTCCTCATAAAGCTTTGTTTAATTTTCTCTTGCTATTCTGTCTCATGTGAATTTAATTCGTTCTCCAGCCAGATGAACCCCCATTTGGGAAGAGGAAATGTCTTCCTCCCCGACACAACCAAGTTTTGAATTTTCAAGTAGAATGAGACAAATATTATCTTAACTAGAACCGGTAATTCTCACCCTTGATTGTGGTACCAGCTTTTTTCTTTACTCAGGATAAAGCAGCAGATAAAGAATATGGGATAACCTGTGTTTTCTGTTCCAACTTGAGGGGAATGTGTGTGAGATGAGGTTTATGTTTTTAATAAAATCTGGACTCATTTTAATAAAATCTCCCCTTGTAGTCAGTATGGGTCATTCATTTGGTAAACATTAAACACCAGTGATTTACAGGATAGAAGATACTGAGGGTATGCACAACCAGAAGGATCTACAACTAGAATATACAGCTATGTGCTGGGGGGCTTTGGGGAGAAGAAGAAGAAAAGAAAAAGGAGAAGATTGGCAACAGATGTTAGCTCAGGCACCAGTCTTTAAGTGAAAAAAAAAAAGAACAACTTTGAGTGGAAAAAAAAAAGGTACTGGGGGTACAAAACTAATAAAATCTGTTACTTTTGTTATAATCTAGGGCATGACTGGCTAGGCACGTAAGGAAGGACAGTTAATGTTATGAGTGCTCTGATAGAGGTGTGTACAAGGTGCAGAGGGAGTGTAATGATGGCTGGTTTATAAATAATCTATTAATTCTCCAGCTTTAACCTATGAACCCTTTATGATCCTATAAGCCTATGTGCAATGTCAGGCAAACCCAGTTGGTTTTGCCTTCATACTAATTCCCCTGTTCATCCTCTTCTCTCCTAAGCGGTCTCCTTGCAGACAAACTCATCCCCCTTTCATACATTTAGTGTACCAAACAGAAGGATATTTTCATTTTCCTTTCTTTTCTGGATTTACTTATTTATTCTTTTATTCAATTTATTTAAACAAACAAACAAAAAGAAACAGAAACAGTTCACCCATTTCTCCCACCCACCCCCTTCTTACACCCACCAATCTGTTTTCTGAATCTGTAAGCTTGTTTGGTTTTTTTTTTAGATTCCACATATAACAGAGATCATATGATATTTATCTTTCTCTGTCTGACGTTTCACTTAGCATAATGCCCTTGGGATCCAACCATGTTGTTGGAAATGGCAAGATTTCATTCTTTTTTATGGCTGAATATTATTCTATTGTATATACAGTCATGCATGCATAATAACATTTCAGTCAATGATGGACCACATGTACGACACTGGTCCCATAAGATCAGTACCATATAGCCTAGGTATGTAGTAGGCTATATCATCTAAGTTTATATAAGTACACTCTATGATGTTTGAACAATGATGAAATCCCCTAAGATGCATTTCTCAGAACTTATCCTCGTTAAGCGATGCATGTACAGTCAACCCTTGGTATCCACGGGGGACTGGTTCCAGGGCCCCCTGTGGATACCAAAATCTGTGAATGCTCAAGTCCACTATATAAAATGATATAGTATTTACATATAATTTACAAACATCCTCCCCTGTGCTTTAAATTATCTCTAGATTGCCTAATAAAATGTAAATGCTATGTAAATAGTTGTTTTACTGTATTGTTTAGGGAATAATGACAAAAAAATGTCTGTACATATTCAGTATGGACCAACCATTGCAGGCCTTTCGATCCATGGTTGGTTGGCTCAGTGGATGCAGAGCCCACAGATATGGAGGGCCGACCGTATATACCACAATTTCTTTATCCATTCATACATCGATGGCCACTTAGGTTGTTTCTTTACGTTGGCTATTGAAAATAATGCTGCAATGAACATGGGGTGTGCATATATCTTTTTGAGTTAGTGTTTTCATTTTCTTCAGATAAATACCCAGAAGTGGGCTTGCTTGATCATATGGTAGTTTTCTTTTTAATTTGTGTGTGTGTGTGTGTGTGTGTGTGTGTGAGGATGATCAGCCCTGAGCTAACATCTGTTGCCAAACTTCCTCTTTTTGCTTGAGGACAATTGTTGCTGAGCTAACATCTGGCCAGTCTCCCTCAAATTTTTTTATGTGGGATGCCGCCAAAGCACAGCTTGACAAACGATGCTAGGTCCACACACGGAATCCGAATCTGCAAACCCCCAGGCTGCCAAAGCAGAGTGTGCAAACTTAACCACTAGGCCACTGGCCCAGCCCCTATTTTTAATTTTTTGAGGAATCCCCAAACTGTTTTCCACAGTGGCTGCACCAATTTACATTCCCACCAATAGTGCACAAGGGTTTCCTTTTCTCCATATCCTTTCCAACACTTGTCTTTTTGATGATAGCCATTGTAACGGGTGTGAGGTGGTATCTCATTGTGGTTTTGGTTTGCATTTCTCTGATGATTAGTGACGTTGAGCATCTTTTCATGTACCTGTTCGCCATCTGTATGTCTTCTTTGGAAAAATGTCTATTCAGGTCTTCTTCCCATTTTTTAATTGGATTGTTTGGTTTTTTGCTGTTAAATACTATGGGTTCTTTATATACTTTGGATATTAGCCCCTTATCAGATATATGATTTGCAATTATTTGCCTATTTTGCAAATTGGTTGTCTTTTTGTTTTGGTGGTGGTTTCCTTTGCTGTGCAGAAGCCTTTTGGTTTAATGTAGTCCCACTTGTTTATTTTTGCTGTTGTTGCTTTTGCTTTTGGTGTCATTTGAAAAACCATCACCAAGACTTACGTAAAGGAGCTTACTGCCTATGTTTTCTTCTAGAAGTTTTATGGTTTCAGGTCTTACGTTCAAGTTTTTAATCCATTTTGACTTAATTTTTGTTTATGGTGTAAAATAGTGGTCCAGTTTCATTCTCTTTTAAAATGTAAATATTTTTGGGCCAGCCGGTGGCGTAGTATTTAAGTTCACACACTGCGGGAATGTAGGGACTTTTTCTCTCTTATTCCTCATGTATCCTTAAGGTCCCGTACCTGGCATATACTAGCTGTTCAGAAAATATTGGTTGAATGAATGTATGATTTTGCTATACTTCGCTCATAGAGTTTATAACCCTTTGAAATCTTTTTCCGTATTTAGTTGCTACTTTATTGCTGGTTCCTCCTCACCAGATGAGAACAGCACCTTGTCTGCCTTGTTCATTTCTGTATCTCTGGAGTCTAGAGCAGTTCTTGGCACATAGTAGGGGTGGAGTCAGAAAATATTTGTTAAATTAATGCGTGAGTAAGACAACATATTCAATTGTCAAAGATCTTAAAATCTAGAGTGGAGAGAAACATTCCTGTAACAGAGAAGAAACAAGGGATTGTGAAATCTCCGGAGTAACTGAGATCAGGAAGAAGTCTCAGCTGTCAAGCCAGGAGTCTCGAGATTAGATTTGTGCCTTGAGATGAAAATCTCTTACCCCAAGTCAGAGGATCCAGTGTGTCCACTGCAGAATCAAAAGAAAATTTCGTACATGACAAAGAAATTCTACCTTTTTTCCTACAAATTACAAGCGTTCAGTAAATACGCATTGACTAACTGCTTGTCACAACTTCCGGAAATAATCAAATTTAGGGTAGAGGCCCGGTCCACCTCTTTGATGGGTATTCGTACTAATGAACTACATTTCCCAGCATGCATCAGAATTATGGCTTTAGACTTTTTAAAGTGGACCACAACTCCCGACATGCCGCGCCTCGGCGGCGTGGACGACGCGCCCCAGTAAGCTGGGACCAGGGCCTATCAGGGCGGGTCGGGGTGCGCCAGCCGGTTTTACGGAAGAAGCGGCGGCGGCGAAGGAGGAGGAGGAGGATGGAGGTGGTGGTGTTTGTCTTCTCTCTCCTCGACTGCTGCGCGCTCATCTTCCTCTCGGTGTACTTCGTATCCTTGCTGAGGCCGGCCTGGGCCCGCCGCCCGAGGGACGGGGCCGAGGGGGGCCCCGGCGGGACCGGGGCAGGTGCGGGGAGCGAGCGACGCGGCCGGGTCGGGGCGGCGGCGCGGGGCGCGGGGCGGG